TGCTGGTTCTGTTGTTGCTGCTGCTGCTGCTGCTGCTGCTGCAGTAGGAGTCTATGAACTGTTGCTGTTCACCCCGTTCCCATCTGCTGCTGCTTCTGCAGCTTCTAGATTCCGTGCTGCTGCATTTGCTGCAGCTGTTGCACCTGCTGCTGCAGCCGCATCAGCAACAACATCAGCAGCAGCAGCAGCAGCAGCAGCAACAGCAGCAGCAGCTAGCTGAGTGCAACGACGCGTCCCTTGGGGGTGTGCAGCAGCTGCACTGCTTGTCTTGCAGGCATAATCATCTGCAGGCCGTGGAAATGAAAGGAAGTATAATAACACAGCACAGAGCCTTCAACTCTCTCTTCTGCTGCTGCTGCTGCTGCTGCTGCTGCTGCTGCTGCTTTTGCTGCTGCTGCTGCTGTTGCTGCTGATGTTGCTGATGTTGTTGTTGCTCCTGCACCTCCAGCAGCTGCTGCTTTTGCTGCAGCAGCAGCAGCAACTGCTGCTGCTGCTTTTGCTGCTGCTGCTGCTGCTGAGGAGTCTGCTGCAGCAGGTAAAGACTGCGTTAGCAGGTGGACATACACCTCAGGGCTGCAGGGGGGCCCTAATAGTATTATTTTGTGACAACCAGAGAGCCGATAGCGACGATAAAAACAAAAACGAGCTGTTGTTAGCAGCAAACCAACCTCCCCTGCAGCAGCAGCAGCAAATGATGCAGCAGCAGCACATGCACATGCAGCACCAGCAGCACTCGCACGTGTAGCAGCAGCACTCGCAGGTGGTGCAGCAGCAGCATACTAACGTCTACTACAGCAGCAAAACAAAACGCAAAGACAACAAATTAAACTCCCTTAAAGCAGCAGCAGCAAACGCAGCAGCAGCAAATCCAGCAGCAGCAAATGTAACAGCAGCAATTGTACCACCAATGCAGCAGCAGCAGCAGTAGCAGCTAATACAGCAGCAGCAGTAGCAGCAAATGCAGCAGCAAACGCAACAGCAGCCAGTGCAGCAACAGCAGCCCATGTAGCAGCAGCCCATGCAGCAGCAGCCCATGCAGCAGCAGCAGCAGCAGCAGCAGCAATACCCTTTAAGAAGGCCTGTCTATTCCTTGAGAGTTTTTTATTTGAGGTGTATTCATGACAAACTGCATAATTTATATTCTT